GCCTTTTCATTTCCAGGTTTGTTCCATGCCCATTCCCCAATGAAGGCTTCTTCTGATCCCTGGGATTAAAGGCCCCAGGATTTCTAAGGCAGGAATGCAGCACTGCAGGTGGAAGACTCAGTTTATGTGCTGGATTGTTCCAGAGCAGGCAAGTGATCCTATCCTCATCACTCTGGTGGGGTTGTTTGAAGTGTTGTTTTCAGGCAGAATCTGCAGCAGTCATAGAATCATGTAATCATAGAATGGCTTGGGATGGAAGGAATCTCTTCATCATGGTCATGGATGCCACACACTAGATCAGGCTGCCCAGGGCCCCATCCAGTGTGGCCTTGAACTCTTTCAGGAATGGGGCAGCCACAGCTTCCCTGGGTCAGAGGTTCCATTGACTCACCAGTGTCTGGGTAAAGAATTTATTCCTAAGATCTTATCACAATTTTTCATCTTTTATCTCAAACCATCCCCCCTTGTCCTGTCAGTATCTGCCTCTGTAAAAAGTTGCTCTCCATCTTCCTTATAAGCCCCCTTCACACACTGAAAGGCCTCAGTGAGATCCACCCAGAGCTCCATGCTAATAACCTCAAGTCTCTCAGCCTGTCTTCAAAGGAGAGTTGCTCCAGCCCACTGAGCATCTTTGTGACCTCCTTTGGACCTGGTCTAACAGGTACATGTCATTCTTCTGCTGAAGACTCCAGGTCTGGACACAGTACCCCAGGTGGGGTCTCATGAGGGCAGAATAGATAGGAAGAATTACTTCCCTCAGCCTTCCAGTCACACCTTTACTGATGCAGCCCAGCATGCAGTTTCTGTGCTGTTGGCTCATGAACAGCTTTTCATCCACCAGAACACCACAGGGCTGCTCTTAATGTGAATGTGACTCATGTCCCTGTCTGTACTCATGTCTGGGATTGTCCTGATGTAAGTGCTGCACCTTGCACTTGAATTTCCTAATTTTCATGAGGTTTTCATGTGCCCACTTCTCAAGTTTGTCCAGGACCCCCTGGATAGCCCTGTCCTTCTATAGTGTCAGCTGTACTGCTCAACTTCGTGTCATCTGCAGATGTGCTGAGGGGGCTCTCAATCTCATGTCTCTGACATTGAAAAAAAATATTAAAAAGCACTGGTCTCAAGGCAGAGCCCTGACAGACACCTCTCATGATTGGCCTCCACCTGGTCATAGAGCCATTGACCAAAACTACCTGCCCATGTCCATCTAGCCATTTCCATATTCACAGCAGTACACCCTTCAAATCCATGTCTCTCCAGTTTGGAGATAAGGATGTTGTGTGGGACCATGTCAAAGGCTGGACAGAAGTTCAGGCAGATGATATTGGCCAGTCTTCCTTTGTTAACTCTTTCAGTCCCTCCATCATAGAAAGACACCTGGTTGCTCACACATGACTTGCCCTCAGAGAAGCTTGGCTGGCTGTTGTGGATCCCCTCCTTGTTTTGTATATGAGTTAAAGTTGCTTCCATGAGGATCTGCTTAGGCACAGAGGTGAGGTTCACCAGTCTTTCGTTTCCCCTCTTGAAAATCCAGCTTGCAGTTGGATGCCCAAGGACTCCTGTGCATGAAGATGGTCCATGTCCTTCTCTATCCCTCCCTCCTCAGCTCACCCTGATGGTGACTTCTTGTTGTAACTCCACGTGTGTGTATTGGCCTGCTGCTTTTAACCCTGTCCTGCCTAACACTGCCCTCAGGAAAAATTACTGGCTTGTTTTGACTCATCCACTCTCTGTGTGGTCTGTGAGTACACAAACAATGCCATGGGCTTGCCTGGGGCCTTGTCCTTCCCCACAACGCTCCAGCCCTGCCTTGGTTGTCCCTGGGTGTCCTCAGCAGAGTTCACAGTAGTCCCTGTTCCTACGTGTGTTCATGTCTCTGGTGATTTGTGTGCAGCCAGACTTCTGTGAATGTACCAAATATTTGACAGGTCTATAAGAGCTTGTGTCCTTTTGTGTCTCTCCTCACAAACAGACTGTGTTGCTCATGGCAGGGACACTCTCCATGGCTCTGTTCATGAGCTCTGCAAAGCAGCATTTTCCCAGCATCAGCAGGAGCTCAAGCGCAGTTGAAAGGTAATGGCATCAGCCTCCTAGAAATCTCTGCAAGAGGCACTGTAATGCAACCCCTGTTTCCTGAACCCTCCCTCTTCTCCTCCAAAGCTCACACTCCACTGTTGCTGATGCCAAGCCCCAATAAGGACCATGTCCCACCAATTTAGATCCTTAGTTTAGTTCAGTGAACCAGCACTGGGACTGCCTCAGTCCTCCTCTGCCTGCCTCACCAGGCCAGGACACAGCTGCTAGAGTATTTGAAAGGATGTGGGTTTGCTTCATGGATCTGGAGAAAGGATAAGGAATCCTACCCTCCTTGTGCAGGCCATGTCCAAATGAATCTGCTTCCAGTGAATTGTTGGTGCTTTCAGGTGTGGGATACAGCCTTCCTTCATGCCAAAGCCCATGTCAAATGTATTTGTGCAATTCATCCACCTGGTGCTGTGTCAGGCTGAGACCTTGGCCCAAACAGATGCAGAATTTAGGAATCACTGTATGTGATATCACTCTGCACTGCAGTGAAAGGACAGAGCCACTGTGTGTTGCCCAGGGAAAGCCAGGGAGGTGCTGGGGCTACTGGGTAGACAGGTGTTGGTGGGGAAGCCCCAGCATGTGCTCTGTGGTTGGGCTGGTCCCTCCATGTGCCATTGCACCCCTAGGGCAGAGGTGCTGCCTGTGGAGCAGAGAGAGAATGGGAGACTCCAGGAGTGCCAGGTAGAGCAAGGAACTGGATTGCCCATATATTGCCAATTCACCCAGTGACAGCAGTGCAGGTCTTGTGGAAGAGAAGGTGAGGCGTGGGCATCACAAGAACGTGTCCTTTGGCCAAAGAGGTGGAGTGGTTCAGTGGCTCTGCCCCAAATCTCCAGCAGGAACTTTCCCTGTTGGTCCCTTCATGCAAAGCTTATCTTTGCCTTCATCAGCTCCTTCCCTACATCCAAGGAATTGCAGATGTCTGAGACATGCCAACCTTTTAATCACTCCCTTAAGCTGAGAGTGGAAGTTGAAAGAGAAATTTCAGAGTAGCACATGGAAAAAATCCCAAAGTGTCTGTATTAATAGTAAAGCCAGATGTCCTTCACAGAAACTCAGAGAAGATGAGAAGATGAAATGCCAGGAGCATTTCATGGAAAGGAAGGGGAATGTGGGACACTGATAGGCCCAACTTTCTGTAGGGATACTCTGTGCTGTGCTGTCATCAGCCCCGTGAATTGTAAAGGGATGGACAAAAAGCAGGGATTTCCAACAGGTATGCACAGGGTACAGGTATTTTGTGGCACTGAGGCCTGCAGAACTTGGCTTACAGAGTCCCCATCAACCTTATTTCCAAGAGAGATGTTTTCAGTGCCTTGATACCTCTGTCATCCTACTTCACTCCTGGTCAAACAGACAAGAGGAGGCAATGTTGTCAAAGGAGTTCACAACCTGACCCTCTGGAAGAACAGGACATCTGCCTGCATTTCAAGTTCCCACTTGGGGAAAGGGCAGTTTACACAGTCTCCCTTATGGATGGAAGGGTGGATGGATGGATGGATTCTGTTTATCAGACGCTTCCTGACTGAGACCTCTAAAGTGCCTTTGGTCAAAGTGCCCAAAAACTTCAGTCTAACTAAGAGGGACCCCTGTGGACAAAACTTGTCTGCCACAGATACTGCTGAGTATCACAGATACTGCTGAGTGTGTCCCATTGTCACCTCCACAGCTCAAGAGGTCTAGAATGACTTTGCACAGTGCTTTTCTGGAGCAGAGCTGGTTCTGACACAGCAGGGCCTTGGAGGTGCTGAGCTTGAACATAGCTGCTCCACCTGAGCTTGGGAGTGACAAAGTGATGGGCCTGTGGACACCAATTACTGTCCTTGGACTGCCCTGGCCCAGGGGGTTCCCAGGGACTCCAGTGTGAGAGCCAGAGTGGTTAATCTCAATACCGACTTGTGAATGATGCCAGCCCTGTCTGCCTGCCAAAACCCGGCTCCTGCCATGGCCTTAGCAGTGGTAGGGCTGGATGGGGAACTGACCCCGGCTACCCCTGCCCATGTGTGCTGGCCATGGCCTGAGACTGGGCAACAGAGGGGAGGAGAAGGAGGAGATGAGGCCATGGGCCATCCCTAAGGCAATTCCACCCACCCACACTCCTCCCATCCTTTGGGAATATCTTCTGTCTCCCCTGCCACAGCACTGACCAGAGCAAGAGGTGCCCCATTCCCATGATCCTGTAAGGTGGTTTGTCTCCATGAGTTTCCACAGAATTCTAGCTGTCACTTGAGGACAGTAAAGGTTCTTGTAGGAACTGTGGGGAGATGTCTGGGCAGAGACACTGCAAGGCAAAGGTTGATTGCCACTCGGTTGGGGGTAGCTGAGGATACTTTACATACTGCCCTAGGATAGTGCCCCAAAGAGGACCCTCTGCAGTGTGTCTCAACCTCACATTTTTCTGGGTGAAGAATCTCCTAGCATTGGCACCTTGACAGGATCAACACCATTACCCCGAGGCCACACATGGAGGGAAAGACCAGCTTGACACCCAGGCTGAGATGCAAAAATCTTTATTGAGTTTAAAGATGGAATCAAGGTCACCACAAGCCCAGGACCTCAGTGCAACGATCTGGAGAGACAAGTAAGAGACTTCAACTCTTGGCCATGGTGAAGTCCATGCAAGGCATCCATTTGCCTTTCCTGTAGAGTGCAGGGTGGTTTCGAGGAGCCTTGAAGCCCAGAGGAGCAGAAAAAAAGAATGAAAAATGAGAAAAGGAGGTATGTAGAAATATCAAAGGAAAGACATGGGCCATGTTTTCAAGTGCCCAGGCTGGCCTCTTCCAGCCAGCATTTTTAGGAGGAGCTGAAGATGGTCAGTTCCTCTGAAAGAAATGACCTGAAGATTCTTCCTTTGTTCTAGACATCTGGAGATTTTGGGGAAACCTCCCAAGACCTGTATAAACCCAGCAGCTTTAGCAGGGGAGGCCCCTCCTGCCACCGTAGCGCTTGGTGATGCAGGAGAGGTCAAAGCCCCCGGAGTTGATGGGCACTCCGTCACAGCTGAGGATGCTGCCAACGGCAGCGGAGGTGGAGGATCCCACCACGGTGTTCTGTGGGAAGGAGCTGAGGATGGGCCCGGGCAGGGTCACCACCACAGCAGGAGGCTCGATGACCACAGTGGAGTCCTGGCACTGCCTGACACAGGGCTCATTGCAGCTGTTGGCCAGCGGGGTGGGCCCGCAGGGCTGGCAGGGACGGCACGAGGTGGAGCAGGACATGTCTCAAAGGCAGAGCTGCACCTGAGACAGAGGGCAGAGAGCAAACAGAACACAAGGGTGGGTGGGTGAGGAGCAGCCTGGTTATCCCATCACAAAACAGCAAAGGCCATCAACGAGTGCAAAGCTGGAGACTGTGCTAGCAGCCATACAGTCTTCAGTGCCTCATCTGGCCAGGGCGCTACAAAGAGCAGCCTGGTCCAGGGAGCAAAGCTCTCTCCTGATGCATAAACCAAAAGCCACCCCAGTCGTGTCCCAGCCTCTCTCTGTGCCAACCTCCTCCCTGCTTTCATCCCTCATGGAAAAGCATCCAAACCCGAAGTATGAGAAAGCCAGAATCAGCTGAGATTTTCATCAAGTGATGGAGATCTCTCTTTGGAAGAGGAGGAGAAAGGCCTTCAGACTTACCTGGTTCCCAAGCAGGAGGAGGCAAGAGAAGTGGATTGAGAGAGCAGGGACTGGGGCTGCCTTTTATACCTGCCCTTCACTGCCAGAGGACCAGGGGCAGCCTCTGCAGAGGTAACAATTTCCTCACAAGCTCATCTGACATGCAAACCAGCACAGCTAATGATACAGGCTGTGCTTTCATTTCCTGCACTGCTGCCTTTTCATTTCCAGGTTTGTTCCATGCCCATTCCCCAATGAAGGCTTCTTCTGATCCCTAGGATTAAAGGCCCCAGGATTTCTAAGGCAGGAATGCAGCACTGCAGGTGGGAGACTCAGTTTTATGTGCTGGATTGTTCCAGAGCAGGCAAGTGATGTATCAGTCTGGATCACTCTGGTGGGGTTGTTTGCATTGCTGTTCTAAAGAAGAAGTTCCAGAAATCCTCAGCTGGATGTCCAAGGACTCCTCTGCATGAGGATGTGTCCTAAACTTCTCTTTCTCTCCCTATGGTCAATTCCTCCTTCTCTGTGTCCATGGACTGTGCTGCTGGCCCCAACCCACCTAACTCTGCCCTCAGGAAAAATTTCTGGCTGCTTTTGACTCATCCCTTCTCTGTGCAGCCTGTGAGTACACAAACCATTCCCTCAGCTTGCCTGGGGCCTTGTTCTTCCCCACAGTGCTCCTACCCTGCCTTGGTTGTCCCCAGGTGGCCTCAGCAGAGTCTACCGTGTCTTGTGTTCCTACAGCGTTGACTTTTACTGGGTCAGAGTAGGTGGGCCCATGCAAACCTCCTGAAGCTCAACAAGTCTAAGTGTAAGGTCCTGAATGTGGGTTAGACCACTCCCAAGTGCTGGCTGGGTGATGAGTGGACTGAGAGTAACCCTGCCAAGAAGAACTTGGGGGTACTGGTGGATGAGAGGCTGGACATGAGCTGGCAATGCTGCTTGCAGCCCTGGAAGCCAATTGTAAACGCAGGCTGCATTAAAAGAAGAGTCACTACCAGGGCAAGGAAGGTGACTCTTCCCCTCTACTCCTCTCTTGTGAGACCCCAACTGGAGTGCTGTGTCCAGTTCTGGGGCCCCCAACAGAAGAGGGATGTGGAGCTGCTGGAGCAAGCCCAGAGAAGACCTCAAAGACACTCAAAGGGCTGGAGCCCCTCTGCTCTGGAGACAGGCTGGGAGAGCTGGCAGTGTTCACCTGGAGAAGGCCCTAAGGACACTTTAAAGCCCCTTCCACTGCCCAACTGAGCTCCAAGAGAGCTGGAGAGGGACTTTTTACAAGGGCATGGAGTGACAGGACAGGGAAGAATGTCTTCACAGTGAAATAATATAGAATCATATTACTTATTTAGAAGAAATACTTCCCTGTGAGGGTGGTGAGCCCCTGGCACAAGTTGTCCAGAGAAGCTGTGGATGCCCCATCCCTGGAAGTGCCACACTGGCCACAACCTGGCCAGTCCAGGCCAGGTTGGATGGGGTTTTGAGGAACCTGGTCTTGTGGAAGGTGTCCCTGCCCACATGGCAGGGTTGGAACTCATGATCATTTAGGTGCCTTCAAACCCAAGCCAGTAAATGATTCTGTGATTGTATGAAATTTGAGAGGTGCTCTGAGGAGTGGTTCCCTCCCTGCCACCACTTACAAGTAGGTCTGATCTCAGCCTGCCCAGCAGTGGCACCTGGGGGCAGTGGGAAGGGAAGGCAGGGCTGGGCTGGTCTTCTGCTTCCCCAGTCTGTGCTGCCGTGAAACAAATACTTGTGAGACTCTTACAGGTGATTCTAGATCCAGGGATTTTGACAACTAAAACTGTCCAAGAAACCTGACCTGGTGCAGATCCACTGGAAGGCTACACCATAAACAGGCCAAACCAGCCTTGTCAATGCCCTCTGCTCAAAATAGGTGGTAAACTGGAGTACTCAGGGCAAGTAACCTACAGCTCTTCTGCCTGTTCCCTTTCCATGGGCCTCCACTGATGGCCACAGATGGAGAATGAGGCCTTTGGTAGGTCTTTGCTCCTACAGTTTTGCCATGTGGCCACAGTAGCCCAAGAAATGAAGAACCCTTCCTTGCCCTGCATCAGCAAGTGGAAAACAGCCACCAGCCAGGCTCTGGACAACGTTCTTCCTGCACTCATCCACTGCCAGAGAGTGGTCTCGCTCTTTTTCATGTATTTTCTTCTTCTCAGGGAAATCACCGGAGCTGGTGGGAGCTCCTGTGTTCCTGGGTCCACACCAGCTTCTCTGTCCAGCAGCTGGCAACCATATCTCAGTGATCTTGCTTCCTCCCACGAGCAAAAGGAAGGGTTCTGGGGACCCATTCTCAGGTAACAGCATGGCTTGTGGAAGCTCAGGTCGAGGGTGCTGACTTTCCAGCTGGATCCCAGTCTTTGAATTAGAGTCTGTTGCACATGAAACATCATCCACTTCACTTGAGAAACCATAGGGTACTTGTTTACTTTCCTACTGCCTTTCCAGGGTGGTCTGCCTCTCCCAGGTGATGTAGGTCTGCTCTGACAGCCCTCTTTGAGGCTTTGCATGCCTCCGTTTATCTCTGAGAGCTCCAGGCAGTGTTGATGAGGCATTCACAGCAGCTCTCAGTGTCCTGCACTCTGCTGTGTCTCTTAGACATTCCAGCTCTAGCTTTTTGTTGCTCTCCAGGGCTGCAGAGGGCTTCAACACTCCACAGACACAATTCCCCCCAAACTGGATCATTCCCAGGCAGGAGTGATGTCTACCCACAAGCAGTGATGTCTACCTGAGGATAAATCCAGTCTCATTTTTTTCTGCAGCCTCAGTGGGCTGTGCCAGGGATTTTCCCAAATGCCACTGGGAAAGAAAGCACAGTTGACAAGAGTGGGACTCAGCCTGTCCTTGGGCAGTGGTGCCTGGGCCTGGATGCAGGTCTAAGAGCCAAGTGCCCAGGGGGATGCAGGAGGTTGGTGAATCTCCCTACAAGTGCCAGTTTGGACTCAATCATCTCACTTGGGGAGCTCCACTCTCAGGTGAAACGAGTCCCACATGCTCCATAAAGGTGTGTCTGTCATGCTGATGCCTCCTCTTTATGAAGCGGTCACATGGACTCTCCTCGGTCAGTGTGCAGAAAGAAAAGCTTTGAAAACATGATTAATCTGTTCTTAAATGAAAACTGGGAGGGGAAAAGCAAGTGGCCTTTGGAAGTGCTAATATCCTCCCGGTGAGCGAGAAGGGAGACCTGCTTCCCAGCCAGCCTTCCAAAGCTCTGCAGTCTGAGCACTCTGCCATCACATTACAGTTTTTCCACAACAAAGCCCAAAATGGGCTGTTAAAAATGATGTGGGGTTTTAAATGTGGAAATGATCTGACACATCTAGTGTGAAGCACACTATTTTGCATATTTTTAATTAAAACTGAAAGAGTAGATTCAGATACTAAGGAGAGGAAAGAAGAGGGATTATGTAAAATTTGTTTACAGTCTTATGCTAGGAATAATGACTGCAGGTAAAGATGTTAGACACTGTCAAATTTTATCTTGAATCAGAGTATGATTCAATGAAATAGCCACAAGAATGGGGCATACATACATCCAGAAAACATCAGACTAAATGGAGAAACACATCTATTTCCCAAAGCAGTGAGCCAGTTCCTGGGATTTCTTTAGGGGATTCAGACAAACCCTGTCAAGATGAAGCACTTGGCAAGCTGGAATAGAAACCTGTGGCAGGACCACTCCTCCAGCTCTGTTAGCTTATGGATGGGGCTTGTGACCCTTTCCAAGCACTGGGAGGCATTCTGGATTCACCTCAGAAGGACCAGAGGGTGGTGGGAGCTGTGGAATTGAGGCTCAGCCCAGCCTGAGCTGGCTGTGAGTGAGGTGAGCTCACTGGGGAACTGGAGGCTTCTCACTGCCTGGGGCACCTACAGACACTGACACTCTGTGAGGATCCTCTGCAGGGCAGAACTCAGGGGAGGGAGGGGATCAATCTGTTTGCTGACACTGGGGCCCTTTGAAAAGCCTCTTCACTTCTGGAAAGCCTGTCCCAGAGCTCGCTTCACTTCTTTGTTTCTGAGCGTGTAAATGAAGGGGTTTAGCAAAGGAGTTACCACCGTGTTGAAGGTATTCACGAGTTTGTTCAGATCCAGGGAGTTCTGGGCTGATGGTTTGACGTAGAGGAACATGGTGGAGCCAAACCAGATGGTGACAACACTGAGATGGGCAGAGCAGGTGGAAAAGGCCTTTTTCCGGCCATGGACTGACTGGATCCTCAGGATAGAAGAGATGATGTACATGTAGGAGACCAGGGTGACCACACAGGAGGCCACCACAACAATTATGGAGACAAGGAAGGTTGCCAGCTCCACGGGCCATGTATCACTGCAGGAGAGGGCAAGGCAGGAGTCTATATCACAGAGAAAATGATTGATGACATGTGGCCCACAGAAGGTCAGCCTGGATGTCAGAAAGGCCAGCAGGGAGATGGCCAGAAAGCCTCCCAGCCAGGAGCTGAGCACCAGCCGAGTGGAGAGGCCACTGTTCATGAGGGAGCTGTATCTCAAGGGGTAGCATATGGCTAAGTAGCGGTCATAGGCCATGACAGACAGGAGAAAACACTCAGTGGAGCCTAGAGAGAGAAGAAAGAACAACTGGAGGATGCAGACCCTGAAGGACATGGTCTGGCTAGTCCCCAGCATGACTCCTATGGCTTTGGGAATGACACCTGTTGTGTACCAGATCTCCAGAAAGGAGAGATTGCTGAGGAAGAAGTACATTGGGGTGTGCAGGTTTCTGCTCATCCACACAAGGCCTATGATGGATGCATTGCCTATTACTGTCAGGGAGTACATCAGTGCAAACACCACCACAAGGGACACTCGGGAATGCCATGTGCCTGGGAAGCCAAGAAGGATGAATTCTTCCACTCTTGTCCCATTTGCCATGTCCTTCCATCTGTTGAGGTCCATCTGCAAAGAAAGAAAAGTTTCTCCAAGAGTCTGCATGCCTGTGCTGGCTCTTCAGATGCTACTGGTAGTGAAACTAAACCACCATCCCTGAAAATGCACAGCATGTGAAAATGACATCTATTCTCAGTTGAAATTTTCAGGGAGATCCTCCCCTGCCAAAGCAAGTTTGGATAACTAGATCTGATCCCGAAAATCAGGCCTACACCACCAAATGAACGTTTGGAGAATTATGTATCAGATCAGGTACCTCATCTAGAAGATAGTGAATGTAGTCACTTCTTTGAGAAGAGAAACCAGCTTAGGAAAGTATGGACAGCAGGCTGAGGCTCTCCAACCACAGTAAAAGCTTTTGATTTCTGCTGACTAAGTTGAAATACCTAACGTGAAATACTGCTCAAGGAATCCTGGTCTTGTATATTTGCTTTTTTCCAAGTCTCAGCACAGGAAGCTTTGGCAAAATATCTGCACGTCCTCCACTGATCTCTGCTTCTCAGCAGAGCTACTAGGGGTAGTGTAACCACGTGCAAGACCCAGTGGAAACTTCACACACACCAATATGATGTTTTGGAAGCTTCATCTTTATTGGAAATTACACTTACTTTTATACAATTCAATAACTACCACATATTTGACTACTTAACCTATTATTGGTCACACACACAAAACACACACTGTTCATACGATTATTATTGGCTAGTCAATATATCTTATTTTCTTAATTCTTCTCCTTCTAAATCTAACCACAGCACTTCTATTCACATGTCTCCTGGCAGGTCCAGCTCAAACTCCCATCTGCAGGTGCTGTTTTTCTCGTTCCTGCAGGTGTCCAGTCCTTGTCGTGTTCTCAAAACACTTAGTCCTTGAGGCTCCTCAAATTCCCATCAGCTGGTTCACTCTTGCCTTAACCCAAAAGTTTCCTAATTCTCCTACAGGGTAGGATTCACCTCTTTGTAATTTTGCCATTCCAGGGTCAGGGGAAGGATTTCTGCTGACCAAGCTGAAATATCTATGGAGAAATACTCCTATCTCAGCTCCTCAGCTTACCCCCCTTCTTTCTCCATGGACAGAGAAAAATCATGGCTCATTTTGCCTCATTTACAGGCTAAAAGCCCTCCAGAAGTGCCAGGTTGTCTCTGAGGTCTAAGGTCTGGTGAGCACCTTAGATGGATGTCACACACCTCAACTCGGGCAGAGGTATTCCAAGCCTCAGTGATTGAAGGCAAAATCCTGCTGAACTGCAGGGTATAATCTGTGTCCTCCCTGCAGACAAGGCAGGATTCTTCATCAGTTCTCTAGGGGAGAACAGATGTCATCCTCAGGTGGTTGTGTAAGACAACGTTGCTGCAACACCACCTACGGGATCTCTTTCTCTCCCATCTTCCTCCACAGCAATACAGACCAGAAATCTCATGTACTTAAAGGGTAGAGAAATCCCCCTTAATCCAGCTCTCCTTACACATGCAAGGCAGTGGAAGTCTCTGCTAGATGTCTTGGGCAGGCTTCACTCAGCACAGCTGCCAATGGAAGTGTGCCAAATGACACCTTTTCATGCACCATCCTCCATAGTCCCCTGGCTAAAGGAGAGCATTGGAGAGAGGGAGATTTATCGGGGGCACTCTGGGTTCAGTGGTGTTAGGAGATGAATGGAGGAGCAGCTCTCACCTTGCTGACTCACTTCAAGCTGTACACAAATGCCTGGGCGAATTTCGTCTCCATCCACCTGGTAGGAACCGATAGCTTGTGCTCCTGATCTTTTCCCTCTCACAGCCAGCTCTGCACTCCTGCTAAAGGGAGCTTTGTGTGCACACACAGAGCATAAACTCTCTTCAGTTTAGCTTCATATGGTGAGATCATACCCCAGAGAGTCGCCAGCATCATTAGCATGAGAACATCCCCACACCCTCCTCATTAACACACTGAAGCTCGAGCTGGCCACACCTGGGAGACGGTTTTCTGTTTTCTCTCTGTGTGCCACAGGGAGTTTGACCTCTGGGAGATCTTAGGGGCTCCTCAGAGATGGATAGTACTCTCTCTTCCACAAGCCAATTAAAGACCAGCAGTTCAATTCCCTAAGCACCTGTTTGCTGGGTGTTTGCTTCCTGCCTGCAGCTGTGGTATGAGAACCCTGCCAGGAACTCAGTGCTCTCTTGTGCATCCATTTGCTGACAGGTAGATGTCTGAAATCAATGTCCTAAGAGACTGGAAGTGTCAAGTATTTGATGATGGACACTAAGGTGGTCATGAAACCTCCAGGTGGGAGAAAACTGAAGGCAAGTATGGGAAAATGAGTACAGAGGCTCTAAGGGATTCACCTGCCTCATTTCAGAGCCTCTAAATGCAGTTAAGGCCTATGTCTTCAGTCCTAATTGAAGTGAAGAACTAAGCAAAGATCTCAGTTCAAAGTCAGACAAAACCTTAGTAGAGGAAAATTGATTTCCTCTGCCTCCAGAGAAGGCGTCTCCATTTGAGGTCCTCGTCTCTGCTCCATTAATCATCAGTGGAGAGAAATAGGCACTCTCAAGCCTCAGGTTAACCCTTACAAAATGTGCTGTCTCTCACAGTTCAGGCAATCTAAGCCTTACAGACACCTACTTTTCTTCTCGTGACACTCAAGATAAACTAGACAGCTGGCTTAGACTGCACTCACACACAAAGACACTCCCATGTCTCATCCCTTGGGCATCTGGAGTCACCTCCAGAGAGAGGCTGCCTGCACCGTCCAGGGCTACCACACAGGTGTTGGACTTGACATTTTCTGCAAGTCCTGTGTCCCAGGCTTCAGTGAGGCTGACCTGTACCTGGTGTGACGTAGAGCTGTAGCTAATGAGAGTAATGTGCTCAGCTTGAGCCTGTTTGCTGACCACAAAACCCTGGCCCTGCTCTCTATGTGCCCTGTCCATGGGCATGGATGTGGGTTTTTAGCCATGGGATGGAGGTGTTGGAGGCTCTGGCAGGGACAGCCTGTGGGTTCACCTGTGATCCCATGATGAAGCAACCTCTGCACACATGACCAGGTTTGGGGGCCCTGCTGTGAGTTTATTCTAGCTGGGGAGTTCAGAGGCCACCACTGGTCGACTGCAGGATCTTTGGCTCCAGAAAGAGGATTCCTGCCATTTCCTGTGCGCATCTGCTGGCATAAGTCCTGGGGGTGAGCTAATGTCTCTTCACAGACTGTGGGAAGCGTCTATGCAGTGTGTTAGGGCAAGTCCTGAGGATGGCCATGAAAATTATCAGACTTGGAACACATTTCCTATGAAGAAAGGCTGAGAGAGGGGGGGTTGTTCAGTCTGGAGAGGAGAAGACTCTGGGGATGCCTTATTGTGGCATTTCAGTATATATAAGGGGCTTATCAGAAAGATGGAGAGAGACCTTTTAACAGTAGTGACAGGAGAAGTGATTTTTAGTGAAAGGAGGGTAGGTTTAGATTAGATTAGGTTAGGTTGGATTAGATTAGATTAGACAGAATCAAGAAATTTTTTAGGATGAGAGTGGTGGAACATTAGAAGAATTTGCCCAGAGAGTTGGATGCCTCATAATTAGGAGTGTACAAGGTCAGGTTAGTTGGAGCTTTGACCAGGTGATTCAATGACAAATTGACAAATGTCCCTGTCCATGACAAGTGGCTTGGTCTAGATGGTCTTTCAAGGTCCCTTACAAGCCAAATCATTCGATGCTTCTATGATTCTAGAAATGGTGCTGGTAGCAAAGATGGTTTGGTGAGGTCCTTTCCTCCATGGCAGGTAGTCTGGGCTCCAAGAGCCTTTACATGGGGATGTCTTTGAGATCCAAGCTGGTCCCACAGGGCTGGAAGGGTGCATCCCCTGAAGGGATCTTGATCCATTTCAGTGTCAACTCCATAATTACCTTGCTTACACAGAGTGAGATGCAAAGTCTGGCACAGAAGTCAGAAAAGAATCCCTCTCCTTTGAAAGCTCATCTGAGCTGCTGCTTGGCAGGAGTGGCGTGCAGCAGCACTCAGCAGCTTTGGCTTCTGTCCCCAAAGGACCCTCTTGGAGGGTTCAACTGATCCTGCTGGTGCTGCTGGTCAGTGGTGCTGTGTTTGACACAGCAAAGCAAGAGCATTTTGGCAAATGTCTGCCAAACTCAGAAGGAAAAGCTAAAAGTGGGAATGGAGGGGCAGGTCTGTCAGAGCCTGAAGAGCAAGAAGGGCACAAGGGGTAGAAGAGGTAAGCACAGCATGCCAGGACAGGCTCTCACACTTCCCCTCTGGCACAGGTGGTGCTGTAGTTACACATTTGCTACACAGCTCCTGCTCAGCAACAGGAGGCATATGGTGCCTTCTTCAGGCAGTTGGGGGAAACCACACAGTCACAAGCCCTATTACCTGTGGGTGACTTTTACCACCTCAGTACTTGCTGTGGGGGCAAAATGACTGGGCACAAACACATTAGGACATGCCTGGAGCATATAAAAGACAAATTTTTGATGCAGATAATTCGTGAACACAGAAAAAATAGGCTCTGTTGGACCTGCTACTCACAAATGGGGGAGAACTACTGGATAATATCGAACTCAAGGGCAGCCTTGCCTGCAATGACCGTGAGACTGAAGAGCTTAAATGTAAATGCTTTTTCTCACTCTATCCCACCCCTTGTATCCTTTGGAGCCGTCTTCTCTCTGTGTCTTTTTCTACAACAGGGTTATATACAAACCATGAGGAATTCCATTCTTCAAAGCCTTTTGAGCTGCTGACCACTCAGTGCCTCCAAGGGAACCGAGCTCCTCACTGAGGGACAGCAGGGATTGGGTTCCAAATCTGCAGGACATGCCCTGAGACCAAGGGGCCATATCTGAGCAGAGATATCAGAAGGCTGGGTCTGATCCCCTTCTCCACAGAGGGAGAGGGGCCAGCAGATCCACCAGAAAGGCTTTGAGAGTCTTAGAGTGCAGCAGAGAGGACGAAAGAGATGGGAGAAAGAGTAAGGCAGGGAAGTTGAACACTGGCCATGGTTTTAGGGAGCCCCAGCAGGCCTCGTTTGGAAGGGCAGCACTGGATGCTCAGCCTTTCCAAAACCCATGGCCAGGAGCTCTGTCCTCAGTACAGCATCAGCTTCTGGGTTCCTGGGGGTCCTTGTCCAGGCACCATCAGTGGCTTTAGGAGTGGGGACACCTTGTGCCACAGTAGGGGCTGGTGATGCAGGAGAGGTCAAAGCCCTCGGAGTTGATGGGCACTCCGTCACAGCTGAGGATGCTGCCAAGGGCAGCGGAGGTGGAGGATCCCACCACGGTGTTCTGTGGGAAGGAGCTAAAGATGGGCCCGGGCAGGGTCACCAGCACAGCAGGCGGCTCAATGACGACGGTGGAGCTCTGGCACTGCCTGACACAGCATTCATTGCAGCTGTTGGCACGGGGCGGAGCTGTCGGGGGAGAGAGGAGGGGAGGGACTGGGAGGGGCTGGGAGGGGAGGAGGCGGAGAGGAGGCGGCCCGTGCGGAGCAGAGAGCCGGGGCTGGCGGGGGCAGCGAGGCGCGGGCGGCGGAGCGGGGGATGCGGCGCTGGCGGGGCGCGGGGCTGGCGGCGCTGGCCGCGGTGCTGCTCGGTGCGCGGGGCTGCCGGCGGGGACCAGCGGGGCCGGGGCTGAGCTCGGGTGTTTCCCCGGGAGCCCGGCACCAACCCTTCCCTCTGCTTCTTCCACATCTCTTTCTCCCTCCCTGCTTCTCTGCCATCTCTCATCCCCCGAAGTCTTCGTGATTTGTGTCATAAAGGCTGCTTGCACATCTGCCTGCATTTCCATGCACCCACATCCCCTCCCCCCGCCCTGCATTCAGCAGTTATTATTGCCTTGAATACAGCGATCTGTTCTTCTATGCATTATAGCACCTGTCAGCCCCTGGTGGTCTAGTGGTAAAGGCGCCGCGCTATCACTGCGGAGACCCGGGTTCGATTCCCGGTCAGGGCCACTCCCGGGCAGGTGGGGCTCGTTAGCCCTTAAAGGCAACCCACCTACGTCCTAAGGACCTCGCTGCCACCGTCCAAGCTCGCTTGGCCCCGGCAGATGAACCTTAGGATTAAAGGGTGGGCTCAGTTCCGCGCACACTGTGTCTCACCTAAAAAAATCCAATGCGCAGGCTGGAAGGTGGAAAGACCTTCCCCGGATCTTCGCTCGCGAAGACTGGCCATTATTATATTATAGCACCTGTTCTCTCTACTCTTCCTTTCTCTATCCATCCACGCAAGTGTGGACATGACTTCTGTCTGATCTCTGAGTGCATGAATTTCAAATTCCCTTACATGCCATTCCAGTCTGGCTCTTTCTTACACCTACTCTACTTGATGCTTTCTCTGGTAAAAATACTCTCATAACTGGGCCATTGTTTGACACGTGATCATTTCACAGAATATTCTGAGTTGGAAGGCACCCACAGGGATCATCAAGTCCGGCTCTTATGTAAATGGCCCATACAGGGATCAAACCCACGACCTTGGTGTTATTAACACCATGCTCTAACCAGCTGAGCTAATCTCATTTGATCAATCTCATTTGACAATCTCTGTCCCTTCTTCCTGCTCTCCCAGCGGTGGTTGCAGACACAGACCAAGTGGGCATGGCCAAAGGGGGGACGAGGGTAGGAAATAAGTTTTGCAAGTCATGGTTTGCATCACTCTGCCACACCATTGTAGCTTAAAATAAGGCATCCCCACCCTGAGATGTCTGAACCTGTCCTCTGCAAATTCAAGGAAATGGTGCTTTAACATAGTGCTGATTCAGGAGGAAGCCTGAAGTTCCCTAGAGAGGACAGCAGAGGAGCTGATGTTTTGATAGCACTCAGCTGACACGTGCCTGCAACCTCCCACAAACCAAGGAAGGGCAAAGCCTCTGCACAGGTGGTAACACGCTCCAGAAAGACATGGAGGGAGCAGTTAAGGCACAGAAATCAGAGCCCTTTTGCTTCATGCACATTGCCAGACTCTTCCAGACCATCTGGGAGTGATCCATCAAGGCAGGCAGCTAAGCACTCTACAGCTGCCCTGGTGTGAGGAGGAAATAGTACAAAAAAACTGGGCAAGGGGTTAAGGCCCAGGAGGTTGCTTCCTTGAGAGGATGGTGAAGCCCTGGCACCGCTGGCCCAGAGAAGGTGTGGACACCCATCCCTGGAAGTGTTCAAGACCACTTTGGATGGGGCTCAGAGGAACGTAATCTAGGGGAAGGTGTCCCTCCCTGCTCATGGCAGGGGGTTGAAACGAGATGGCCTTTGAGGTCCCATCCAATCCAAACTATTCCATGTTTCTTTAATGATTCCATCTCCGTGGGTATAGGCAGAAGCCAAGCCTGCTCTTCACAGCCTTCCCCTGCCCCTCTACAAAGTGCAACAGGCCACAGGGAGTGAAAGTGTTGCAAGTAGTCTGATAAAAAAAAAAATCAGATTTGAGATTTGATTATATAGAAGTAGTAGTAGTGATAATACAATTGAGATTTGATTATATAAAAGAAATTTTTTTGATCGCAGGTAGGAAATTATGAAGCACAATGTATAGAATTGTTAAGGAGTGTTGTGTTTGAAGTATGCAACCATGGAGACCTCACCAAGGAGTTACTGGACCATGCATGCTAAGTTAGCTAAGTTACTGGACAATGTATGCTGCTTGGAAACCCCCTTGCCCCTTCCTATCTTAATCTGTGTATCGAGGATTCCAGTCAGTAAAACTAAGTAGAACTGACCAATGATTGTTTTGGGGATAAAGATGTATTGCCTATAGAAACAATCATTGTAAAGGTTAGATTTAAAAATGGACTTATGTAACAGAAAAGAAGGATAAAAATGAATGGATTTTGTTGCTAAGACATAACATGCTTGCAGGATTGACCCCACTGTGTTCTCAGCTGTCATAGTTCTGATTTTAGCAAAGAATTTTTTTCTTTCCCTTTCCCCTGCCCTGTGTGCCCTGTGAATGGGCCATTAGGTGAACAAAGGAATAGGCCTGATCCACTGATGGCTGAGAGATTAGTCTCCTTGACAACGAAGAGGGAGGAGTTGAGGGGTTGCTGGTGTGTGTGCCTGGAAGGAGGTGGAGCTGGGTGTCAGCTCAGCTCCCTGCCCTGAGCAGAGCCGGCTGTGAGCTGCAGACACTGCCTGGTTCTCTTCTTTCCTGTCCGAGGGGAGTTTTGCTGCTGCTCTCTGCTCAGCTGTTGCTGGCTGCAGGCCCTGCTTACAGTGAATCCTAACCAGCTGAAGTTTGTGAGTTTTCTTCCATTGGGAGAACTTTCTGTTTTATTGCTAATTTTTTTTTCCCTTCCCCTTCCGCCCCCCCCCCCATTCCCTCTCTCCTTTCCAAATTTTCCTTCTGCCAGTTTATTGGTTTTGTTCTTGAAGGGGATTATTTGATGGATATACGAGTATTACTTGGTTGTGTTACTTGGTTTTTTTTCTTTCCTATGTTCCTGTTAATACACACATATCTTTCAATAAAGGGCTGTTATTTTCCCTTTTCCATAATTTGTTTTCCTTCAATCGGAGCCTCTCAATTTTGGATTTATAATTGCTTAGAGAGAGAAGTTTGGGTCTTTTTCTCCTAATCCATCCTCAGCAAAAGACCCTTGTCTCATCTAAACTGGGACACCAGCACACCAAATAAAGAAGTGTCTGTTTATTCACATCAAACCGGTGTGAAATAAGTTTCTTTCATCACATTTGGTGACAAAAGCACCAGTGAGAGCCAAAGGAAGACAGTTGTACCTACCGCACTGGGAACTCTTTGGAAAGCTCTTTTCTTGAGAAGAAAGCCCCTTGCCTCCGAAGGCATTTCACCTAAATCTGTAGTTCTCTTGGGGGACACCAACACACATTTAAGAAACCCTGGCAAGGCTGAATTACTTTTGCTGCTTTCAGAATAGGCAGTCCAGCTCTGGCTTATATTGCCCCAAGTGAGTTTTCCAGGTTCAGACTTAGAGCCCCAGGACTTTTGCAAACACAGCCTGGCTGCTGCCATCTTCATGTCTCTGAACTTCAGCCTCCAGGCCCAGTAGCAAAACCAGAGTGTTCTCAGCGAGAGACCAGATCCATGTTGCCGCAGGATGCTCAAGTAAGAAATGTCCAAACCGTAAATGTTCAAAATATAAGAAACCTCCAGTGTGCACAGAGCACTTTTTCTACCAGCTCTGAACAGCAGAGCTGGCTCTGTGTGTCAGGACAGCCCAAACAGAGGCAGAGGAAAAAGCAGTGACTGTTTTGCAGCAATGCCCAAGGCAGACTGGACATTGTGAGACCCTCCCTCTGGTCTCACTTGCTTTGATTTCTGGTGTGCTGGCGGGTCTGGGTGCCTGGCTGAGGAGGCCCAGGCGCTGTGGGTGCTGCTGCTCCTGTGCCCCCTCTGGTGCTGTTGTGTGTGGGGCGCGGAGCCGCTTGGGCAGCGGCGACTGCGCAGCCCTGGGCCAGGAGCCCAGCGCCCTGCCCGTGGTGGCAGCAGCTGTGCGGGCCCAGAGCTCTGGCTCAGCGGGGTGTCGGCCACAGCCCCGTGGGCTGGGCAGCGGCGGGGCCCGGGCTGGCCGCCGGCCCTGCCTGTGCCACTGCCCCTGGCCGGCAGCACGGCCCCCTTGGCCTCCTTGACCCCAGCCAGGCCAGCCTGGCCACCCTGGGGCTGTGCCCACCCTCCTGCTGAGGCCTGGTCTCAAGAGCTTCTGCCCCAGGGCTGGGAGACGCCTCGGGAAAGCAGCAGAGCAGCCGGGTGGCAGGGAACCAGGGGTCTGCCTGGGGGTTGCTTGTGGCCTCTGCCCCCCAGTTCCCTCCACCCTGCCCCTCAGAATTCCCCCCCAGTCTGTGCCCCTGTAGCCTTCTGCCAGCCAGTCCCTCACAGATTCCCCTCAAGGCTTCTCACTCCCTTGTCCCATCAGGGCCTGTGCAGCACCTCACCTCTTCCTGGTCTCCCAGTGCCCCGTCCCCTGCAGGTCTCCCCCAGCCCCGCCAACCTGCCCGGCAGCGGCGCGGCCCTGAAGGAGCTGCAGAGGAGCCGCTCCAGAGGCACTTTGGAGCCCTGAGCGATGCAGCCAGCAACACACAGGCAGGACACAGAGGGGGCTTCCTGGCTAGGGGAGGGCTTGTGGTCATCTCCAAGGACAAGCTCTACCTGTCCACTCTGCTGCAAACGTTGAGGCTCCAGCACAACCACCAAAGGCCAAGGGGCTTCTGCCCACTTTTGCTGGCACGCTGCCCAGTGGGGCAAGCGTTGCCAAGCACAGGGACCCCTTTTCCCCTCTTCCCCAAGGCCTTCTGGACACTGGACAGCAAAAATACTCCTGGGCCTCTGTGTCTGGTAACATGTCTGTCATATTGCCATGTGTCATGGGTTTGCTCTGGGCCAATTTTTTCTCACCCCCCACACAATTGCTATAAGTTGAGAGAAGGTTTATGCAGATAAAGGAGATCTGATTGGGGAGAATAATATCAGCATTTATTACTAGTCAGATAAAAACTAGAGAACTATATCTACAAAAATTCTAATTAGGGAAAAATACAAAGTATTTACACAAATAGTCCTCCTCCTTTTCTATCAGTTCAGGAGGAGAAGCAGTCTCTTTCTCCATTTCCAGAGGTCCAGGTCTTTTAAAGAATTTTGCAGCACTCCAAAGTTTTTCTTCTATTATCTCTAGCCCCTCCTGGGCTAAGACCAGAGGCTGGGGGTTACCCAGGCCCTGAAGGGTCTTCCATGGACAGGCGTCTTCCCCACAGGCTCTGGTGGCCCCAGTAGAGACAGACTGACGGATCAGTTCTCCCCAGAGCTGCAGCTGCACAGGCAGACAGTGCCCTGCAGAAAAGGCCGAGTCTTCCACGCCCTGCGGAGCCAGTCTTGGAGCTGCGGGCATCTGGAATAGGGGACCGTCTGTGCAGCTCTCAGCCCGTCGCAGGATTGAACTGCCAGGCCTGCGATGGATGGTGACTCTGATGGCATCTGTCACGACACAAAGGGCTGGAAGAGGCAGCAATGGAGTCTACCAGAATTTGAAGAATGGAGTTCTCTGGACAGCTTGGATGATGTAGATTGTTTGAGCTGCCAGATTTGAGATGGCAGGGCTGTCGTCAGTCATGGCTTGAAGGGCTGGAAGAGAAAGGAAGAGAACCAAGGTCAGAGGCCAGGTCTGTGGGGAGCCGAGGAGCCCCTGGTGCCAGGGCCATGCCAACCAGCTCTTGCCATGGCCAGGAGGGAGCAGGGCCCAAGGGGATCAGCTGGAAGGTGCTGGCCACCGATACCGCCCCGTGCCCCTGAAATCTCTCTCCACTCTGCCCAGGCCGCCCCTGGTGCGTGCAGGGAGCAGAGCCCTGCGCAGCCGGGGCAGGACTGCAGCTCCCTGCCCAGGGTGTGAGCTCCTCCCGCCAGCCCCTGCTGCCAGCCCGCTGCCCTCACTCACCCTGGTAGATGAGCTGCAGCTCTTGCTGCTCCTCCCTCAGGTACCTGCCGGCGATCCCTGGGAACACAGAGCCTGTCAGGGCCCCAGAGGCACAGGTGCCCCGCAGCGGCGATGCCAGCCCGGCCACACGGCCTCCTGGCTGGGCTGGCCCAGGGTGGTAGCAGGCGCCAGGGCACTCGGGGCTCCCCGTGCCCTTGGCCGCATCCTGCTGCCGCTGCAGCAGCCGGGGCTGGGGCCGAGCTGTAGCGGGGCGGGGAGGGACCCCGGGATTGTGGCTCACCCATGAACTTGATGGCCGCCCTTCGCAGGGGCTCCTGTGGGCTCTGCAGGTACGGCAGGGCCTGGCGCACGTACTGGGCCACTCGGCTGCTGTCCTTTTGCAGCTGCAAAGAGTGCCAGAGCACGGGGGGAAGGGTTGGCTCAGGCTCTGCCCCACACACTGGCCATCAAGGGCTGGGGCATGGGGCCGTCCTTACCAGGCACTCGCCAAACCTCCATGGCTGCTCCAGGGTCACCAACTGCTCCAGATTCTTCCACTTCAGGAACCTGGCTGCACCACACAGTGCTTCCCGAGAGGCCTGCAGAGCAACAGAGAGCGGCCCATGGCAGCGCAGCCCAGGGCACAGGACCCGCATCCCTGCACCAAGGCCAGCACGAGGCTGGAGGTGATGATGGGTCAGGCCAGGAGGCACAGCAGCCTCCTCCTCTGGGGACACCAGAGCCCACGAGTCCTCACCTCTGCCACACGTTGGTTCTCGTCATGCCAGTTGAAGTAGAGCGGGAGCAGCCTCTGGTGCACGTGTGGCTTTAGGATCTTGTTTCTCTCTGTCACGTCCATCCCGTGACGGAAGAGGACCATGGAGAGCTGCTGCAGCTGGCTGTTGTCCTGGGGCAAAGCAAGAGGAAAAGACCTCAGCACTGGCTTCTCCAGGCCCACCAGGGCACAGGCCTGAAAAGACACAGGCTACAAGGTTTCCTGGCAGCACTCGGTGCCCACGAGGAGGGGTACAGAGCCTTACGTCGTCAAAGAGTGGCCGCAGTGCCTCAAGCAACTTCAGGGCAGTGGGGCCTGATATTTGGATGGTTTTGGTCTGGAGCACATTGATGAACACAGAGAGGGTCATCTGAACCATTGATGCCGAAATTTTGCCCCAAAAGGCACGGAGAAACTGCTTTAGAGACAAAGTTTGTTTCTTTAAAGCAGGAGGTATTTTATTGCAACGCGTTGGGGAGCTCTCCAGGTCGCCCTGGGCAAAGAGCTCCATCCTGTACAATCAGCATAGCTCTTTTATACAGTTTTCGAATATAGGATTACAACATAATCATGCATATTCATTAAATTGCAACATCTAGTTGTAATATTCATATGAAGGTGGAGTCTGGGCGGAGTCTTCAATTTGGGGAGATTTCACGGTGGGAGTTCCTGTTGCCTTCCTCTGGGCGGGGTCGTGTGTGAGTCTTCCTCACTGTAAACTTCTGAACTTTCTTTCGATCTTCTCCTTTTAAGGCAGTTTTGGCAAACACAATAAGGTCAGGGCTGACTTTTGGCTCATCCTACGATTTGCTGAGTTGCTATCTCTGTGAGGAATGCAGCTATCTCTCTAGGACTGCTCTAGGATTCGCTGAGTTGCTATGTCAAGGACTGCCTAGTTTCCTAATGTTAAGGTTTTGAAATTTCTCTTACAATTTTGTGTTAACCTTTTATGTTTCAAAGTTTTAAGTGAGTGGCTTCATTCCCCCCTTTTCTTATAACTTACGAATTCTTTCGTCAAGTTTTAATCTCTAAGGGACGTTGGTAAGATTGGATCATTGCCTAAAGTGTTTGGGTTTTTGTCATTAAGGATTTCAGTCTGCTCCATAGGTATATGTTTGTGAGTGTTAGTAAAAGTATAGCTATGGTTATGATTAGTATTGGGTGCACAAGGTAGTGGAATACTTGAGTTGCTGTTGGGGAATGCCCTGTAAAAATATCCCACTAATGGTAGTGCCGTGTCCATATTCACACAGGACTTTTACTCAGGGGCTTGGTACCCTATCTGCAGATGCTGGTGTTTCACTCGTTTCTTCCTCTTGCTTATTCTCCGGAGCTTTCTTGACTCGTGAGTAATGAATCCATGTAGGTCGCTCTTTGATCCGGACCGCGGTGAAGGTGGTCAGCAGGATTTGGAAAGGTCCCTCCCACTTTTCTTGTAGGGGTTTTCCTAAGAGATTCTTAACATATACCCAGTCACCGGGGTTGAACAGGTGTAATTTACAATCAGGCTGTTTGGGTTGATGTTCTATCACCACAGTTGTACTTTTATCAAAATGTTTCCCTATAGCAATTACATAATCATAAATGTACTGATTACCTATTTGGTCTATAGCATCTCCATTTACAATCTGCATAGCATAAGGTCTTCCATACAGTATTTCAAACGGACTCTAAAAATTATGTAACTGCCACTTGATTTGTAATGCCTTGCTTATTGCTCTTACTACTTTTGAGTAAAACCTTGGTTACTTCTCTTTCTTTATTTGTCCTACAAGGGAATGCTTCAGGCCACCCAGAAAATGTGTCAGTTAATACTAATAAATATCGAAACCCCCCTTTTCTTGGGAGTTCTAAAAAATCAATTTGCCATACTTCACCTGGGAATTTACCTCGATTTATGGCTCCCTGATGTACCTTCGTTCCAGTATTTGGATTATTCTTTAGGCATCGCTCACATTGAGATGTGACGTATTTTACTGTAGTAAAGAGTTTTGGTCCTGCTATTCGGGTTTGTAAATATTGATAGAGTGGGTCCAGGGCCCAATGGGTTTTTTCATGTTCTATCTTTACAAACTGCCACATTAATTTTTCAGGTATTATTAGTTGACCTGTTTCTAACTGTCCCCACCCGTTGTCTAACAATTTACCCTTGTTCTTTTTAATTCATCTTTGATCTGATTCTTGATAATTTGTTTGAAAATCTGTATCTAATTCTCCCGGTATTAAAGCTGTTATGTTTATTTCTTCAGTTTTTGCAGCAGCTAATTTGGCTTCTGCATCTGCCTTCCTATTCCCTATTTCTGGAACTGTGTTACCTTTCAGGTGTCCCTTACAATGCATTATGGCCACCTGCTCTGGGAGTTGGACCGCTTCTAACAACCTTAGAATTTCTTCTGCATGTTTGATTGTTTTCCCCTGGGCAGTTAATAGTCCCCTTTCTTTCCAAATTGCTCCGTGAGCATGTACGACAGAGAAAGCATATTTAGAATCAGTCCAAATGTTAATTCGCATACCTTCTGCTAATTCCAGGGCTCGGGTAAGAGCAATTAGTTCTGCCTTCTGGGCCGAAGTCCCTGCAGGTAGGGGATTTGATTCAATTACCTCTTCTGTTGTGGTCACTGCATAGCCTGCCATTCTTACTCCTTGCCTCACGAAGCTGCTGCCGTCCGAGAACCAGTTGTCCGCATCTTCAAATGGTTCCTCCTTGAGGTCTGGACGACTGGAATAGACCGCCTCGATCGTTTCCAGGCAATCATGTTCGAGGGGTTCTGCCGGAATTCTTCCTTCTAGAAACGAAGCTGGGTTGACAATGTTAGTTACTTGAATGGTTACATCATCTGATTCAACTAGGATGGCTTGATATTTTAGGAATCTTGAAGGCGATAACCAATGGTTACCCTTTTGTTCCAGCACTGCTGAGACAGTATGAGAGACTAACACAGTCATTTTCTGGCCTAGCGTAAGCTTTCTGGCCTCTTCTATGTTGATAATCACTGCGGCCACTGCTTTTAGGCACCCAGGCCAGCCTTTGCTTACTTCGTCCAATTGTTTGGAGAAATAAGCTACAGCTCTCTTATGTGGTCCCAACTGCTGTGCTAGAACTCCCAGAGCCATCCCCTGCCGCTCATGGGAGAATAACCAAAACGGCTTAGTTACATCTGGAAGACCCAAGGCTGGGGCTTTCATGAGTTCTTGTTTCAGTCTTTTAAAAGCTCCTTCTGCCTCGGGAGTCCAGGTTAAGGTACTCGTAGTCCCCTTTAGTAAGTCATATAGTGGTTTGGCAAGTATTCCATATTGATGAATCCATAATCAGCACCATCCTGTCATTCCCAGAAAGGCCCGCAGATCTCTTACCGTTTCTGGTCTGGGCATCTGACAGATGGCTTCTTTTCTTGCTGTGCCTAGAGATCGTTGTCCCCTGGAGATTTCATATCCCAGGTATATCACCTTTTCTTGTACCAGCTGTGCCTTTTGTAGAGAAACTCGATATCCACTTAAGCCCAAAAAGTTTAGCAGGGAAATAGTCCATTCAATGCACTCCTCTTCTGTTTCAGTTGCTACTAATAAATCATCTACATATTGTAGAAGGGTACCATTTCCCAGTGGCCTTTCCCATTGTTCTAATTCTTTGGCCAATTGGTTTCCAAAAATCGTGGGACTATTTTTATATCCCTGCGGTAACACAGTCCAAGCTAGTTGAGTCTTTCTCCCTGTTTTAGCAGATTCCCATTCAAAAGCAAAAATTTTCTGGCTTGTCAGAGCTAAGGCTAGGCAAAAGAATGCATCTTTTAGGTCTAATACTGTGAACCATTTTAAATTTTCCCTCAATTTGGTTAGAAGAGTATAGGGATTTGCTACGACCGGGTGTAAAGTTTTTGTAATTTCGTTCACTGCCCTTAAATCTTGGACTAATCTATATGTCCCATTCGGTTTCTTAACAGGTAGGATTGGTGTATTAAAATCTGATTCACACTCTACCAATAATCCTAGTTCTAGAAATTTCTCTATTATTGGTTCAATTCCCCTTCTATCTTCCAACCTCAGCGGGTATTGTTTTCTTACTACCGGTTTTGTTCCTGGTATTAACTCAATATTAATAGGAGCTGCTCGTTTTGACCTTCCAGGTACATCAGTAGCCCATACTAGTGGGTATACTTCACTCATAATGCGTTCAATGCTATGACTTTCAGGTTTTGGTTCTATATAGCTGATTGTCAAACTTAAAGCTGCTATTAGTTGTTCATCATTCACTTGAAATTCAAGTTTGTCTTTATTGAATTTTATTACAGCCCCTAAATTCTCTAATAGGTCTCTACCTAGTAGAGGCTTTGGAGAATTTGGTAAATACAAAAATTGATGAATTCCCATTTGTTTTCCAATTTTGTATTTAACAGGTTTTAGAAAGTAGGCTTTTTCTGGTTGGCCTGTCGCTCCCACGACCTGTACAAATTCATCACTTTTGGGTACCAATTCTTGATTCAAAACCGAAAATGTTGCTCCTGTATCTATTAAAAAGTTTAATTTCTTTTCACCTTCCCCTAGCTCCATTTTAACCAGTGGGTCTGCTAGGGAACGACTCACCGGTCCTCCTCATTCACTGTTCTTGATGTGCAATGATAGCGTTTGCAGGTCTCTCTTTTATCCTCTATCTGAATGACTATACTCAATTTCTGTGAGTTGTCTGCCTTTTTGTTCTGGCTAACTATATCATCATCATCATCACTGCATCTTAGTTCAGGGAAGCTACCCCCCTTTCTGGTGCTCCCTGATCCTGGCAGGCAGCCTGGTCCTGGCGGGCCGCCTGGACTTGGCGGGCTGCCTGGACTTCGTGAGGTGTTTTCATCTCTTGGCGTACTGCAATCTCCTCTCAGTTTAGGTGGGCTATTCTTTTTTTCCCGATTTTCTAGCCCCAAGCCCACCTAGTCTCCAAACTGAGAGGACTACTCTCTTCCCGGTAAGTTTCTGAGCCTTGTGGACTATTCAGCTTCTGTGATCCGCTTTCTCTCCCGTAACTCTCCGATCTTGCTGGGCTACTATCTTCCCAGCTGTTTTCTAATCTTTGGGGGCTGTAACCGTTCTTGGATCTGTCTTGTTCTAGTGACATATCCCCTAACAGACTAGTGTCTCTTTCGCCTCCCCTTCGCTTGGGCGGAGGAACCCCATATCCTGGCGCGAACGGCTGATACTCCCATAAGCTTATTTCGCTTTCTTTTCCGCTATCCCTCCTCGTTAATTTAAGGCATTGCTGTCCAATACTACAGGCATCACAGCAACGCTCCTTAGGTTTTAAGTTTTTCTTATCTTTCTCTAAGGCCAGTACCAGGGGATCTTGGGGTGCTACATTCACCCCACACTCCTTCTGCCACTCTGGTTTATTCCTCAAGGTGAAGAACATATCGCAGTACATTACTTCATCCCATTTGCCTAGCCGACGGAGGAACAACATGAGTTGTAAAATTGTGTTGTAATTAATTGTTCCCTCCGGAGGCCATTTTTCATCATCATCCAACTTATATAGAGGCCACCCCTATGTACAGTATTTTAAAAGTGTCTTTTTACTTATGTTTCCCCCTGGAATCCCCCCCAAATCTTTCCAATGCTTCAAGACACACCCTAAGGGGGTCTTCATGTTTATATCTTTCCTTTGCTGGCCTCCCATTGCTGTTTTTCTAAATCTATCTCTTTGCTTTAACCAGATTTTTTTTTTTTTTTTTTTTTTTTTTTTTGTCAATACTTCATACACACAGTTTCCAATCGCTTCGTCCGTCTCTGGCCTGGCTTCTCGCGAAGAACAGGAACCGCAGATTAGGACTCCGCACTCACTTCGTGCTTATTTGCACGTCTCACTCACACGCATTCACACCTGTACACTTTTAGATGAAACGTTCTTACCTTTTAGCTTTTTCTCTTTTTCTGTTTTTTTTTTTTTTTTTTTTTTTTTTTTTTTTCTTTCACATTCCAAAACCCTTTCTCGAGAGCAGCTATTGGAACCGCTCCCAGAGATTGGCACCACTCCCAGAATTTATCAAACCCTTCCCAGACGTTTGGAAATAATCCCAGATTAGTTAAAACACTACAACAGACAAGCGATACGACAGACAAGCGATACAACAGACAAGTTTTGCCGGCAAACCTATCCGCTCCGGTGGGACTCTAACCCACGATTACCTGGAAGCCCACCCCGAGGCCGGGACTCTAACCCGATTTTTTTTGGGACTCTAACCCAAAATACCTGGGGGTGGCCAAATCCAGGCCGGGACTCTAACCCGTAGGGGATTATATGCTGGGGCGTCCCCTCAGCGTTCCCCTGGGGGTAACGTCTTACCCCCGTCTCAATAGAGCGCTTTCTATTCCGAAAACATATAAAGCAAAACACAATAACGTATAAAGCAAAACACAATAACATATAAAGCAAAACACAATAACATATAAAGCAAAATACCTCTTAATTTAAAGCAGGAGTTCTTGTCCGCCGTCGCACGTAGGTCCGAGGGGTCTGAGGAGTCTCTACCGACAAAAGTCCGCCGGCAGGGCCCAGAGAGTCCCTAGACCCCCAGGCCCTGGCTCAGGAGGACTAAAACCTCCTGCCTGGCTTCGCCAAAAATGATGCCGAAATTTTGCCCCAAAAGGCACGGAGAAACTGCTTTAGAGACAAAGTTTGTTTCTTTAAAGCAGGAGGTATTTTATTGCAACGCGTTGGGGAGCTCTCCAGGTCGCCCTGGGCAAAGAGTTCCGTTGTGTTCAATCAGCATAGCTCTTTTATACAGTTTTCGAATATAGGATTACAACATAATCATGCATATTCATTAAATTGCAACATCTAGTTGTAATATTCATATGAAGGTGGAGTCTGGGCGGAGTCTTCAATTTGGGGAGATTTCACGGTTGGAGTTCCTGTTGCCTTCCTCTGGGCGGGGGTCGTGTGTGAGTCTTCCTCACTGTAAACTTCTGAACTTTCTTTAGATCTTCTCCTTTTAAGGCAGTTTTGGCAAACATAATAAGGTCAGGCTGACTTTTTGGCTTATCCTAGGATTTGCTGAGTTGCTATCTCTGTGAGGAATGCAGCTATCTCTCTAGGACTGCTCTAGGATTCGCTGAGTTGCTATGTCAAGGACTGCCTAGTTTCCTAATGTTAAGGTTTTGAAATTTCTCTTACAATTTTGTGTTAACCTTTTATGTTTCAAAGTTTTAAGTGAGTGGCTTCACCATGTCTCTGTCTGCATGCTGCAGTAGCTCCAGGAGTCTTTCATTCAGGCTCCAAATGCTCTTGGCCTGTGTGAAACACAATGCTGTGCTGGGAAGGGGCCATGAAGGGGAGCAGCCGCCACAGCTCCCAAAGGCCAGGCAAGGCCAAGCGACTGCGTTGCACAGCCGCACGCTGCTGGCCCGGCTTCAGCCGCCTGCCCCCTGCTCACCATTGCGGGAGCCTTGCTGAAGGCCTCGAGGCCTCTGAGAGCCAGGCGACGCCTCTGCGGGCAGTCCCTGTGCAGGTGCCTGGAAAGGATGTGCAGGGCTCTGCCAGCATTTTGGATGGTCTTCAGGCAGGTCAGCACCTGAAAGGCACGGAGCAGTGACGGGGTGCCCAGCCGGCAGGAGCCCGGACATGCCCAGGGCTGGGCCCGGGCAGCAGCACAGGCTGCAGGCAGCGTCCCAGGCGGCTGCGGCTGGGAGAGGGCACAGAGGTGGAGGTAGCTGGGCGAGGTAGCACTCGCCATCGGGCTCACCTCCACCAGGAATGCCAGGCCAGGGACTTCCCAGAGGGGCTCTTCGCTGCTGAGCAGAGAGAGCAGGCTGATGGCCATTCTGTCACAAAAGGCGTGGGAGACACAGCACAGCTCCCTGCAAGGGGGAAAAAGGCACCACAGAGCCTGAGCCAGGTGGGTCAAGCTCTCCTGGGACTGACCCACAGATGTCTTTCACCACCAGCCCGGGAGGAGACATGGGCGCTTTGTGTGGTGGCTCCTGCTGTGCCTCTCTCCGACTTTTCCAGTCTGCTCAGCCATCCCTGGGTGCCAAGGCCCTCTGGCCCACGGCCACTGTCTGGGGTGCCCTGTGCACAGGGCAGAAATGCCAGGGGCAGTGGGGAGAAAGGAATCTCACCTGGCCAGTAGACCCACTGCATAGTGGTGGGTGTCAGTGTTGAGGAGCATGTCCCAGACACACTTGTGATCTATTTCCAGCAACATATTCTCATCCATCAGCTGGCCAAGCAGGGCTTTAATGGTCTGCACTGCAAACCTGTGTGCAGAGCACAGCCCAGGTGATGCTGAGAGCCCTGGCCCCAGCCCCGAGGGCGTGGCAGGGATAGAGGACTGGGATGGAGCACCTGTTGGGGGCGGTGGGAAGGCTGCGTTGCTCCCGGCAGCGCCTCCAGAAGGTGTCGACCTCCTGTGACATCTCCTCTGTGCTGATGAAAACTTGGAAGAGCAGAGTCAGAAGGAGGCGGGGGGAATTGTCCTTCACTCCACCTGGGCACCAGGACAGCTGGAGGATCTCCCAGAGTGCCACAGTTGCCTGCCAAAGACAAAGTACCCAGAGACAGCTCTTAGTGCCAACATGTCCATGGAGCAGGGCCCGAGCGTGACAGGGAAAGGCCAGGGGAGACACAGGGGAATCACCCGTCCTGGTGGCGCTGAACCTGCCCCTAAGCCAGGTTTGCAGCCTAGTGCCTGAGGCAGGGAGAAGCAGTGGGGAAGGAGGATGGAAAGGCATCAGAGAGGCGACCTTGGGGGCGAGCGGAGGCCAGTTCCAGAAACTCACAGCCAGGGCAAAGACATCCGTGTCATCCCCATCAGAGGTGCATCTCCTGTGCGCTGGCCAGTATTCCAGCACAAGGAAGAGTATCTGCAGCACTGGCCCCTGAGTATTTCTCGAGGAGATGAGCGTCCTCCACATGATGCAAGCAGCTCTGTGGTGTCAGAACTCTGGGTCAGGGTGTGTGGCACACAGCGCTGTGGCCTGGGCAGCTGCGGGGCCCAGGGGACAGAGCCACGGTGCCTTGTGGGGCAGGGAGGCAGGGTGGCCTCAGCACCGGGGGCTGACATGCCAGCCTGGGTGAGACAGGAGCTGGAGTGTCCTGCAACTCTCCATCTCTCTGGCACACCATTTGGGACAGGCTGTACGGGGTGATGGGTTCTAAAGGCAGGTGAGGCCTCAAGGCAGGTGGGCTCCATACCTGTCACAGGACGGGGTAGAGCGCAGGAGAGTCACTGCAACATCCGCGGGGTGTGCCTCAGTCAGCAGCACCAGAGTCTTGTCCAGCCTGTGCTCAGCAGACACGTTGGATGCGAGCCACTGGTGGATGCACCTGACTAGGGCCGGCACCTGCAGGGACATGGGGCAGAGTTGCAGAGCTGCCAGAGCCAGCAACTTGCCCGGCTTCCCCCAGGAAGTGCTCCAATTGCCACCACACC